CATTAGAGGCTCTATTGTCATAATTCAATCAAATCTGACAGTAAGACCTGTCAAGTCGTAAATATATTTTCTAAGTGAGTATTTATTTGCTTAATCATGATGTTTTCACTTAGCCTGACCGATTACAGTGCAGGAGGTGTGGCCATAATGGAAAAGTGCTTTTTTGTAACATAACAGTCAAGACTGCAGCTCCAATACAGCATTGTTTTATTGTTGCCCTTTATGCTATACCAAAAAAGCTGTTTATATTAACATTTATCTACAGTCTGGGTAGGGTGGAGGGAGGGTGGATCTCATGCTGCCATAGAAAGTGTAGAGTTTGAGTTTTAATTTGAAAGGTTACTTGTGTGGCTAATAAAACAGTGTAGCACTAGCATGCGTGTTACCCATACAGCATTTCTTTGTTTCTTTGGGTGTTGTCGATGTGTTTTAATCCATTTTGTTGCCGTATGTATCCCTCCTACTACATTAAATACATATTTGAACACTTTATAGCTGCCATATTTGCCCAAAGGTTGAAGTGAAGTGAGTCGCTGTATTTTCCGAGGTTGTCCCGTTTTCTACACATAAGCTTAATGCTGGAGGTGGACAGAATCTACATCCTGCCCAGTGCTTTTTCTTTCCCCTTTCTTTAAAGTCTTCATACTTTTGAAAAGAACATTTAATATTTCCTGAAACTGAGTACCGGTACATGTTCGGTATTGAGAAAGCAGGTGTGCATTCAGTGAAAACAAGACTTTAGGTAAATGTTCACTTTCTTTTAAAAGTGATGGATCAAAAGCAGCAATAATCAAAGAACCAAATGCCATGGCGTTCTAAAGATTTTCACAGTAACATTTCACAGGTCATCATGAACAATAACATTGTGTTTTGTCTGAGATGGCAGGATCCAGGAATGCTCTGATTATTTTCTTTTTTAATTCACATGCATTGCAATGTGGGTCTGTAGGTGAAGATCAAAGGGGGTTATGTTTTTTTTCATTTTGTATTAAAACTACAAAGTGTTGAACTGTCCTTGATTCAAATTGTCAAACAAGTCCAAGGCCGAAAACGAGGCAAAAAGATCCGATACGTAACCCAAGACCAAGACCGGCAAAAACAGGTTGATCCCAGCTCATTGATAAACATATCTGGTCGCATTTCTTGAAAAGATTTTTTTTCCAGGCAAGGCTTTGCTCATCTCGAACACACCTAATATCACCACTCAGTAGTCACTTCTGTTGAGACTGGCCAATGGAAAATCTTGAATCAAGACCGAATACTTAAGGATCTGAGAGAGAGAAAAAAACACTTTGAGAGAGAAATCTATAATTGAGAGAAGACGTTTTCAATCTGATTGCACAATAACAATATTTGAGAGTAAAAATATTGTTTTGAGAGAGCTTTTTTCCCCTCGAAATCATTTAACAAATGTCAATTTATCTCATACGTATTTTATGTCAAAGCATTTTCTCTGAAAATGTTTTCTTGAGTCTCCAGTAACATCAGTTATGAAAATTTGTTAGGACATTTATCTCACTTGCAAAATAATTTCCCCTTTTTAGATCAATTTATTTCTTGAATTTATTAAAAACTTAAAACTAACTCCCTAAATGTATTGTAATTCTGAAACATATCTGGAGTTATGTGACTTACAAGTGTTTGCCCATAATCAACCAGTGAATATGCAACAGACCATGTTCTTGTTTTGTTTTTGTTACTGGCCCCAAAACAACATTTTTCCTTTATTGGCCTCATTAAATCAAAATTGAGTGAGATTTTTGTTATATTGGAAGATATTACAATCGAGGAAACATTTAAACGGCAATGTTAGCTGTTAGTTCTACCCTGAAAGATATGGATATTCAGTTTTCTAACCTTTTTGTGTGGAGCAGCCTCTTTTTGAAATTATTCCACAAATCATCTATGTAGCACTGAGCTGCCTTTGTTTGACATGTGTTGATTACCTGAGGGGATCATTGCAGGCTTTGCAAGAGTGTCTTTTTTTACACAAAACTAGCTGATGTGTGAAACAGGCTGCTATAGCGAAGTGTTGGCATATTGCTTCAGTGAACAATCTAATATGCCACAATCCACCTGTGTAATGGCAATATTGGGATGATAAAATTAAATATCCCATGAAAGTCTGTACCTGTTAATGTGTGTTGCGCATTGTTTCCATTTATAAATAAGCATAAGCGGCACAACCTAAATTTTCTTTTTCGCATGTGTTTATTTTGTTTGATGAGGACCATGGAGTAGAGCTGTCTCCCTCTGTTTCACTATAAGCTTCCTGAAATGAGAAATTTCGCTCCTCCTACTCGATATTGAATTGTTACAACACACACCAATCTGTTTACATCCAGATGCAACTCTTTTGCTTGTTTTGAATGACCTTTTTCTAATTTCCACAAACATTAAGTCGATGCAATTTCTCTGTATTAAACTCCATTTCAGCATTGATCTCCACATTTTATTTGGATTTTGTTTATAGATAAGACCTATTTGGCAGGATTCTCACTTTCTTGCACTCACATTCACACAATCATCTCCTTTAGCTCAACACAAAAATTGAATCAGTGGACTTGACAGGGCAAGAGGACAAGCAGGACGAATGAAAATCGCCTCATTACATGCAAACACACACACGAACAACACAGAGATACCGGTTATACACAAGCAGCAGGGGACGGTAATAGAAAAGCCTTGAATCCTGGTCAAACACCACTTAGTGTTTAAGAGCTGATAGACAAGTGCACGATGCAACATGTGCCTGCAGGAACGGAGAAGCTGCTTGTCAGGGAGAAGATTGAAATAATGGAGGGGCTGACTTGGTAACAATGGTGTGTACGTTTGTGCAGGATGAAATAATAATAATGATGATAATTAAGCTGATAAATGATAAAGGTCACAGGAACAATATTAACAATGAGGCTGATGATAATGACAGTGTTCTGTCAGCTTTTATCTCACTTTGATCATTGATCAGAGCAGACAGGGTGGATACAATCACACCAAGATCCTTACAATATTCCCCTGTTTGCTTTGTATTGAAAAGATTCAGTATGACCCAGTTGTGACAGACAGACAGACGGAGGCTTTTTGATTAAACATAATTTATTTCTAGTCAATGCAGACTAGCAGATAGGAAGTCTCCTGATATAGAAAAATATTAATACCATTTTTTTTTGTTTGGTTGAAAGAAAGCAAAATGAACCTGGTAAAAAATCAGCAGAGGATGTATAGGACGTATAGGATGCAATGTCAGTATTCATTCTTTTGAATATTGGTATCCCACTTTTTATGAAAAAATTTATAATTAGCTAAAATCTCCTCAGCAATCATAAGTAAAGTACATTTATTCCACTAATTATGGATTCGTTTTGAATATAAGTCTCAGTTCTTGCCATGAATTCATTTTGTTATTTTATAGAAAATGCCATGAATGCTGATTTGAATGTGATGTTTCAAATTTTTTTTTTTTTGCAAAAAGAAAATGACAATATCATTGCATTGTGTTTCTTGAAAACAAGAAAAAATAATAAAACTTTTTATGAAATGTTGCTGTAAAGAAAATTAAAATGCTACGAACACTTTCCTAATGCTCTGTGTATTCATTAATTATAATCTAAGGAAAAACATAAATGATCTTTTACTAATGTTATCTTTACGTGCTTATTAGGAATGACAAGTTTAACCTATTCATAGTGTAAACATTAATGTGAGTGCATTAGTAGAGAAGCTGTGAAAAATGCAGCTTTGGGAATTTAAATCTAGATGCACAAAATCAATGAAATGTGATCCATCGAGCAATAAAATCCTGCATGCTGCTATTTAGAAACACAAACCACTCAATTATTTGATTTTGTAGGTTTATCTACTTGCTAATTTATCCACTGTTAGCGAGCAGACAAAGAAAATTTCTACTATGAACAAGATGAAGATGAACCATCTGTATATGTCAGTGACTTCAGGTATAACCATCTGAAATCACTGACATGCTGTGAATGTGGTCTAACAGTTTCTAACAGATAAACCTGTTAAGACAAGTGTTGCTAAATACTGAGAGAGTCAGAGAGTTTTTATAAAATCCTCAGCTGATCTGCTTGTTCACAGTAAGCTTGTATTAGTAACTGCCTTGTTAGTTTATAGCAGCATTAAACACTCAAGATGCAAGATGTCGTTATTTTGTGCCCCGTCCTAAGTTACTGAAGGAGTATTAAAACGTATCTGCAACCTGTCAGGTTATGTGTACATGTCAGTCTCTGTACGTTTCTCACCATCATACTGTACATTCTTACAATAGAATGATTTTACCCAGGTATTTATCATCACAACATCAGTTTACCACACAAAGGCCATATGATTGATTGAAACGTATTGAATCACTTGATATGTTCCCATTTTTAAGTGTTTTAATATTATCTCTATCTGGTTTTGTACTGGATGTTTTGAAGATGCAAATGTGTCAAAATTGAAATGTAAATACTTTTTAAATAAGACTAAAACCCAATTTTTAATGTAACCTTAAAATCATATGACTAGATGGAAAACTACTACTGTGCATTATGATGTTAGAACATTTGATTAGAGCAGCTCTGGGAAAAATGTACAGTACCACCATCCATTTTTCATCTTGCAAAAATTTTGCTCATTGGTGGCTGTAACCCATAAACCTCTGACAGCTAAGATTTTTCTCATAAACGAAAAGAAAATAAGATTTTTGGAACCTCACAGAGACAATACACACTCACACATGCTGAAAAATGCACTCAGCTGTAGACATTTCCTCAAAGGAAATAAAGAGTAAATCACAGGATGAATAACATGTCCGTGGCGCTTCCACTGCATGTGTGCATGTATATGTTTGACAGACAGAAAAATAATCTCCAATTTTCCATTTGGACTTTTGAAGCCAGGTTTTGTATTCTGCTGCTGTATTTATTTCCTACAGTGATGGCTGGTGTTCAGAACCACGGACAGAGAGGGGTAAAGAGGAAGATGGATACAGGAAGACTTTACCTTTGCATATGGAGCTCCTCTGTGAATCAGCAAAGCCTTCGGTTTCTGCACACTTTCACATCACTATCAAACCAGGAGCAGCATAGAAGGGGGAACAGAGAGGGGTGGGTGGAGATAAAGGGTTGTTAGAATGACTGATAATCATTTGACAGCATCACAGAGCAACAACCTGTCACATCAACAATATATATTTCGCAGGATCAGGGAAAAAAAGTGGAATTAGACAATTCTACAAAGTACAGCAGAACAGAACAGGCTTATTAAACAGCAGAACAAAATATACATTTTTAAAACGAATTAATGAGATACCAAGAATCAGTGAATAGAGTCTGCAAAGGAAGAGAGACTGGCAAGGGAATGGGGCGCTCAAGCGGAAAAGCGTGGGGGATTGTTGAAATAAGAGCTGTCTAAAGAGAAAGCAGAGGGGGATTCCCATTAGAGAGACAGATGAAGGGACTGCCGAGGAAGACAGCAACATCTGACAGTTGGCACATCGCTGATGGACAGAGAGGGGGAGATGAAGAGAAGAAGATGCTATTTCTGAGTCTAATATGTTTTCAACCTCACTGAGAGAACACAATCTCAGAGTTTGAAACCAAGATTCTCTTTATAGCAGGCCTAATTATGTTTGTTAGAAATGATAGAGATATTTTGTTAAAGAATGATATATGAGTTGAAACTGCTGCAAAACATTTGAAGTCTTTTATGAACAGTGACCGCAGACCTGAGAATCAGAAATGTATCAGATCACTGGAAAAATACCCCAGGTACATAAATATATCACACTCATCAAACTTTCAATTAGTCTATATAAAAGCTAATACAGCATATTTTCACATAGATTATTTTAGTAAAATATAATTTGATTTTTAAGACTTCACGTCAGTTAATGAATTTTTTTTAAATTGTTTTGAGAACAGTTATCAGTA